CCAAATTTTGGGATTATAGGCATGTTCCTCCATTCTTGGCATGTTATAACCTCTTTAAGGCAATAAATACTGTAGGAGTCAGAGGGTCTGTAATCACATCACCAGGAAGCTGGATACAAAAGCAGGGTCTCAGGCTCACACCAGACCTCCTGCGCTAGCCTGTGCATCTTAACCAGTGAACCCCAGGTGACCTCGGCTGTACACTGAGATTAAGAACCGTCAGTCCATAACAGCTGCTCCAGGAAGAGTGGATCCCTGACCCCCGACATACGAATGCCTCTGGCTAGGAAGACCCAGACACAGCTGCAGAGGTTATAAAGTGATGTGCTGGTAGGCACTGAGGTGCCTCCTAAGTCAGGAAGCAATCTGCCAACCCAGAACACCTCAAGTGAAACACTCCCTGTTAGGTTAGAGCTGACTAGGTGAAAGGGTGCTCAAGCTCTTTAAAGGGGGTTCAAATGATTGAGAAATGAGTCTTTGAACTTAATATCTTGATTCTACGCCTAGAAATAAAAGGATTTTCTCATAATCAAACCTACAGCTTAAAAAAAAAAAAACAGTATCCACCATGGCAAACATATCTTTTTATTTGGTGCAGTTCAATCCCCTAACTAGGGTTTTCAAAAGCTGTCTCCTGGTTTCTGCTTTCTGTTCCAATCCCAGGGGGAAAGCAAGTATTTGCTTTTAGCATTGTTGACACCCAAGAACTTTGCAAATGTTTCCACAAGGCCAGCTGCCCTTTGTAGAGCCTCCTGGGAACTTTTCTTTTGGTTACTAACCCTCAAGTACATGCAAACCTTTGTTTGTGAAGATATTTGTCACATCTCATCTTTTAAAGGAGGGTGATCTAGACCTTGACACAAGCTTGAAAATCTTTGTGTCTTTAGTCAGCCCTCTGGGATCATCTAAAGATTTCCTCTTGCAGCCTCATCATCTTCTTGCTGTTCTAAGAAGAAACACACACACACACACACACACACACACACACACACACACACACTATGCCTCTTTCCATTTCTCCACTAAATCTTAGAGGATTGAAAATTCTAAAAACTGTGATTTGCCATCTGAAAGCAAGTTTGTATGTAGCTCTGCAGGGGCACTTCTGATGATAAATTTTACATGGAATTTTGTGCTCCTTTGCTTTGCTTTAACCAGCTCAGTCATCTTTCCCTGAATTCCTTCCTTAAGGCCACCCCAACACTTTATTCTCTTCCTCTTCTGATCCTTCTTTTTCTTTTCCTCCTTTCCTTGTCCTCCCCCTCTTCCTTCTCTTTCTCCCTCCTTCTCTTCCTCCTCCCTCCTCCTTTATCTCTTCTTTTTTCCTCTTCTTCTTCTGAGCACTGGGATTAAATGCATGCACCACCACTGCCTGGCAGTATTGACTTCCGAAAAGTTCTTGACTGTGTTTAATGACTGGATTTTTTAACCACATACTGTATTTAATAAAGGCCACATTAGCTGTAATCTGAAGAGAAAAGTTGTCAGTCGTAAAAACTTGTAACTGCAATAGAGTGGTGACCTGAGCTCCTGCCTTTAGGCTCGGTTTTTACTGGTCATGCAGTGAATGACACATGTATGTCTGAGCATGTACTTGAATAGAGCAAACCTTTGTTCTGTTGACACCTGTCTCCGCAGCATTGTCTCACAATGGATTTTTTAAAATCTAAATTAAACAGGCTGATGTATCCTTATTTTTGGTAACCTGCCTCTTCGCTAACATGTGGACTGTGACTTCTTTTTATCAGACCTTTGCCTTCTGCTTGTCACTTATATTTTTGCCTCCTCTTTCATGTTTAAAGAAGCATGGGCTATTATTATTATTGTTATTATTATTCTGGGTGTTTTGGAGCAAAGCACCTTGCTTTCTGTGGCAACTCCTGTGGCTTTCTAAATGCACTTGATTTAGATTTCAATGTGTAATTACTGCCAAACAAGTTAATTGCTTTATAAGTGTCCAGAATTCCCTGGTTTAATTTTGCTTTCATTTACCAACCTTCATCATACATCAGCCGCTCAACATAAACACAAATGATTGTTAATGAATGCCTAATGCCACATTCACTAGAAAATCAGGTTAATGAATGACAATGAACATCCCAGCTACTTTATTCTTTTCGAGCCCCCCCATCTTTGGCTTCCTTATTACAATAACCTTTTAGTTTGAAAATAAATTCTACCTACATCTGAAGGTTCAAGGAGAAGCTTTTCTAATGAGCTGATAATCCTGATCTCTGCTGTTTCTTTTCTCTGGTAGATACCTCTAAAGTTATCAAATTGTAGATATCAAATATACACAGTCATTTATATATCAGGTGTATGTCAACAAATCAACCTGTTTTTTGTTGTTGTTTTGATTTTTTTTTGTTTTGTTCCTTTCCTTTTCTTTCCGTTTTCCTTTCCTTTCCTTTTTCCTTTCTTTTCTTTTCCCTTCCTTTCCTTTTCTTTCCTTCTTTTCTTTTCTTTTTTCAGACCAGAATGTATTTGGTTTCCAGGGGTGGATAGCTGCCATGGAGCCTTATTGTTTGGAAAGTACAACTCATAGGACTGCTCTGTGCACGTTCAGGTGCTGCTCTGCACATCTTGGAGCTACCGTTTGTCCGTCATGGTCTCTCTGAGTGATGTTACCCAGTTGTGACCCTGACATGAGCAGAGCTTGAACAGCGGCACTGAAAACTCTCCATTGAAATCAGTGTCAGAGCAGTGTATGTTGGGTCCTGTGCACCTCAGGCAAAGGTTACCTGGTGGGGAAACCCCAGATACATGAAAGTACATGGTTAGAGTGAGTGTAGAGGTTTCACTGAAGAGGGAAACTGGGATGCATGTCTGGCACAGGCCTGCCTCTTCACCTGATGGTCCTTCAAGCAGGAGTCTCTCCTTCCTGTACTTATTAGGATGGTTTTCTAGGTCAAACCAGACATCTGGGTTTGGAAGCTGCGTATGTGTCCTGGTAACTCAACACAGAGTTAAGCTATCAGCAAAGTTGTTCTGTTCACTATGTTGTGAGATCTGAAATAATTTCTTCACCTAGCATGCAAATGGTGGTAGTTTAGATTCCTTCCTGCTTCGTGTTGCAACTCATTTGGGGATCCTAGGGAGGATCTCCTGCGTTCTTTAGTCCTGTTTGTAGTATATTTGTCACATAAAGAACTGACGCCAGGGCTACCGTGTATGTTGCTTGACTGTGTGGGTTCATACTCATGCCTATACTTATGATACATACTAACAAGTTTTTAATTACATAATATATTCATATAATTTTATATATTACACTTTAAAATTCATGCAAATTATACTATATAAATTTTGTAATAGATATAAATATAAAATATAACAATGATAAAATAATTACCATATTGTTAAAATATTATATATTTATAATATTATATATTTATAATCCTCAGTTTCAGGGTTCTGAAAATCTTTTTTACTCACTCATATATTTATTCTAGATTCCAGGAATTATTTTTCTGCCACCTTCATCTTAACTTTTTACTGCCCACATCCTTCAGTCTTGGTTTTGGGTTCAGGAAGACCGTCATTTCTTCTTCCCTTTGTGTTGAGCGGAAAGTCTGTTTCACAAGTCCACGCCATCTGCCACCTTTGAATCTGCGTGTACCTGTCTCTCTCCCCATAACGTTAAACTTTACTGCTTTTCCCTGCACGAGTCTTTGTAATGATCCCTATTACAATCCTGATCACCTGGGGCTGGAGAGATGCTCAACTGTTAAGAGAACTTGCAGAGGACCCGGGCTTAATCCCTGACACCCACACTGGGCCGCTTACAACTACTTAGACCTTCCAGATAGCCCTATATCTGATTCCAGGGAGTCAGATACCCTTTTCTTGCTTCTATGGGCACTTTCATGCTCATGGTACATGTACATATGCTTGGATACATACATCTACAGATAAAATTAAACCAATAATTAAAATCTTTAAGTCCTGATGAAAAGTGGAAGGGCCGCTGTATTTCAGATGCATACTTCTATCCTGGCCTTGGGCCTGGTGGGGCCCACTCTTTAAGGTACCAAGATTAAGTTTAGCAAATACCGGGTAATAAGTCAGGGCCCTGGATACTGTGACTAACTAAAATGAAAACCATCAAATTGAAAACAAGAAGTCAGAAAACCAATCCTGATATAATCTTATTAAGGCTTGACATTTTCCGTAAAATGTCAAGGTTCTCTCCCACCATCAGGTCCTTGGGTCACCTTCTCCAGCTGCCCTGAGCAATCATGTAGATATAGCACACTTGTTTCGAGCATGTTTATGCCATGTTAAGTCTGCATAACACACAGTTCCAAATTGACTTCTACCAAGTAGTCTTTCTTTCTTTCCCTTCTTCTTTCCTTCCTTCCTTCCTTCCTTCCTTCCTTCCTTCCTTCCTTCCTCCCTCCCTCCCTCTGTCCCTTCCTTCCCCCTCTCTTCCTTCTTCCTTTCCTTCCTTCCTTCCTTCCTTCCTTCCTTCCTTCCTTCCTTCCTTCCTATTTCTTTGTTTCTAGACAGGATTTCTCTGTATAGCCTTGGACTTGCTTTGTAGACCAGGCTGGCCTCAAACTCATAGAGATCCACCTGCCTCTACTCCCCAAATGCTGGGATTATAGGCGTGCACCACCATGCCTGGCTTATTTATTTCATATTAATGTTCTTAGTTATATGGGCTGGTTTTGGGTAGATCAGTTGGGGATGGCTCATGACTATGTAACATATGTCAAAAGCTTACAGAAAAGGGAATACCAGTTTAATTTTAAATCATAATTTTTTTTTTAAATTTAAAGTTCTTACAGATGACTTCATCTGGATTCTAGAAGGTGGCAACTGCATTTGGAATTTTCCATGGTTCCCATGGCAGCTGGGCCAGTGTTTTGTTTATTATCAGGTACTCAGAGTGTGTACAGCCATGTTAGGATAAATTAACTTATGAGCTTCTTAAAAGTCACCTCTTAGTGGTTAAGGTGTCTGAATTGGGGCTAAAAGCCTTGTTTATTCTTTTCCAGAAGCCCTTTTGCTACATTCCCTTTGTGAGCAGTGCTACCCTGTGGGAGAGAGGCGCGCCTCAAAGAAGTGTGAGTATGCAGTGTCATCCCGTGGCCTAGGGTACCTGTTCTGTCCTCTCTTTGCACTTCATAGCTCGACACTGGACATTTATTCCTTCATGATAACTGTAAATCATTTGTGTTTTAAGTTCTAAAATAAGGATTTTGAAAGGTACCTCCTGTAGAACCTTGAGTATGAGAATCGTGTGCTATCTTTGTTCTGTGAGTGTATAGCTATGTACACCAAGACTCATTTGATTAACAAGAATTGAAACTTGTGCCAGGTGCCTTTTCACTCCCTGTATGTGTCACAATCGAGAGCATGATAGTTTCGTCTTACAATAATCGATACAAAAAATAAATGGTTTCATACTGAAAAAGTCATGCGCTGAAAAATTTGAACGCTGTGTGGCTTTTTAGCAGGCTGCCTTTACTCCTTGATTGCTAATGGCTGATGTGAATGTCTGTCCCTATTGATGCGAATTTGTGGCTCTCTGAGTGACTGCCATGTGTGCCCAGAGATGGTCGCCATGGCTGGCAGGCCACTTCCTTTGTCATGGAGCCATGGCAGCATCCCAGATGTAGCCTTATCTGAGCTTTGTTTAAAAGAGCAGGACTGTCTGAGAAAAAGAAGCTTTTCCATACAAATACACACTGTCAGCACTCCATATGTTTCCATGCCCTTCCTATTTGCCATGAAGGGAATTTCAGGACCCTAGAGTTCAGTGACAGTTTCAGTTGCTAAGTCCCAGGGAGCTGACAGGTTTTAGGGGATGATTTCAAGATAATTTACCTTCTAGTCTTCCCTTTCCAAAATTTAGTAGTTTCAGGCCAGCCAGGGCTACATGGTTGAGACCCTGTCTCAGACAAACAAATATGCAAACAAACTCACCATCCGACAACAATCAACTAACCATCCTATGGGACAAAGAAAAATTTGGAAAGAAGAAAGACAAAATCAAACAACAACAAAAACTCCATCACAGTTTGTGAGTTTGACCCATGTTGGTGCTTACTCAGAAGTAGGATACAATGACTGGAAATAGAATTCAAGTAGCAACCAGAGGTGTAAACTCACATTCTAAGATTAAAGAGAAAGGCCAGCGTAGAGAAGATGAAAACATGGCCTACTTAAAACACACAGTCAAAAACCACGGCCTGATTTTCTGCTGATTCCTTCTGCGCTGGAGCAGAGGCCGGGTCTAAATAAGGCATGTGCAGTGTTCTCTTTCCGTAGCTGTTTCTCCATTTGAACTACGCTGTCGGCCTCATAAGACTTCAACTAATGGAGTTCATGGCTCAAAGGAGGGTTTTGTAGGAAAGGGAAGGGAATAGAAGGGTAAGGAAAAGAAAGGGAAGGGAAGGACATTTACACAACCCACTTATTGAGGCCATTCTGTTAGTGTGCCAAGACCCTTGAAAGGCAAAACTCCCTAAAGGGGTTTACAAGTCCTTCCACGTGGAGGGCTGTGGTACATGTGGCAGTCATCTGGCTCTCAAGCTCGCTGAAAGCTGACTCCTGGGCACTCCGTTTTCCTCTGGGTTTTAGGTGTGTGTGTGTGTGTGTGTGTGTTAGTGGTAAAGTCCTGGCAGAAGCGTAAAGACTTTAAGATGTCTCTCTTATAGTTCTATTGTATATCCTCTGCTTTATTCCCTATCATATACCATATTTGAGGTATTTTATGTCAAATACTGTATAGTGCGTAGCGTATATTGAACAACATGTATCATGTTTGAGCTCAGATACCCTCTGTAGGATCCCTGCATCTAAATGCAGATTTTCAGTATCATGATTTTTATATTGTGCTCACTGATCACACACACACACACACACACACACACACACACACACACACGGTTGTTATAAAAGCATAAGTAAATAAAAAGAGAGTCTTACCTTTTAAGAAATCTGTGTCAGAAGTCAGGACAGATATCAAGTTTGCGTTTCTATTATAACATGATAAGCAAAATTTAAAACATGGATCAATTGAAATTCAAAGTTCCTGTTGTTCCCAAAGAGCCTTCCAAGAAGGTTTCATAGCTGTGGCTGGCTGAATTTTATTTAAAAGTCAAATGCCAGAAATTATTATGAAGAGAAAAAAAAAACCATGTAGCTCATTCTTTGAAGCTAGCAATGCTTAAAAGGAAACAAATTAGAGATGATTGTAATTTATAAAATATGTTAGATGGAGTGCTAGCAAATTCAAATTCAAAAATAAAAATACACCATAATTAATTAGGATTAATTCTAATGATGCAAGATTAGTTTAATATAAAAGAATAAAATTCAAAATACATAAAAATAAACCAAATGAGCTAAAACATTTCCATGGTCATTTACTTTAACATAAGCTCATGGGAGGAAAATAAAACTGTTTAGAAAACTTGGAATGGATAAGAAATTCTTTTATTTTAATTTTTTATACAATATATTGTGATCATATTTTCTCCTCCCACAACTCCCAGATCCTCCCTACCTTTATACAACCCAATGTATATTCTCACTCAAAAAACAAACCAAACTAAGAATAAAAATACAACCAAAAAACAAAGCCAAAAACAAAACAAGAAAACCCAAAAAGGAAATAAAAAGGCCACAGACACACACACACACCACCAGCAGCAGCAGCAAGGACAACAACAATGAAAATACTACTATTACAACAACTACAAAACCATAACACAAAAACCTGGGAGTCCATTTTGTGTTGGCCAGTTACTCCTGGGCATGAAGTCTTCCTAGGGCTGAGGTTTATACGCCCAGTGACACCCCACTGGAGAAAACATCACTTTTCCAGAGGGTATCAATTGCAAATAGCCTTTTGGTTATTGGGTGGGACTTCGGGTCCACTTCCCTCCTCAGTGCTGGGACTTAGTCTGGTTGTGAACTTGTGCAGATCAATGCAAGCCATCACAGTCGTTGTGGGTTCATGTGTGCATAAGCGCCATCATGTCCGGAAGATGTTGTTTCCGGGGATTCATCCTATAATGTAGAGAAGCAGGAACTCGACACACTGCAGAATGACTCTGGAGAACATTTAACAGTCTAACACAGTTGCAGATGGAATCATCAGTATGTGACCCCACAGTCCTTGCCAGCACGTGAAATCAGAGTGAAGATAGCACAGAAGCTGACTTTCTGAGGCATGAGCATTGTAAGGGGACACTAGAAAGACACACGGGTCCACCAGCAGGAGAACGGCTAAATTCACGGTGGCATATTTAAGCACTGGAGTGCTGCAGCTGCTTCCAAGCAACTAGTGGAAGCTATACACACCATCAAGGCTACACCAGAATGACTCAATGCAGAATGAACATGTCAGAGAATCAAGCGTGTGTTGTTTAGTATAGCTGTGTCTGCTGAGGGGATACGTTTATGCACTTTGGCATTTTGTTCCAAATTTACAGATACCTGAGATGTAGGAAAAGCAAACAGATGGTGGTAAAAATACATTCTGGGTCAAAGCTGGATTGTAGGATTTAGTGATGTTTTCAAAAACAGCAAACATCATACTCTGCTTGCAGTCACCCACAGGGTTCATTTTCATTGAAAGTTCGAAGACTGCCATGCTCTTGCCTTACACAGGCTGCTCGTCCCTCCCCCCTCCGCCTCCGGGACCATCTTTTCCTTCCCTGTCTATTTTCATTCCAAGCACACTCCCTTCTCTGACCCCACCGTCCTGCTGGTCTGAGATGAACGTACCAGGAATGTTTGATGGATGTTTTCCTCGTGTTAGCCCCAGCTGTTGAGGATCAGTAGATGGGGTGTCTGTGCAGCCCCCAGGAGCGACACACTCCTAAGCCAGTCCACTGGGAATGGCTCATCAGTGTGCATCCAATCTGAATCACAAAATCCTTGCAGTAGGAAAGAAAACTGAGTGCCCATATTCAGTCTGCTAATGTCTATGTATGCACCACCACCTTCAGGATCACGTAGTTATAGATATCACTCTAAGTTATAACATACTTATAAATACATCATGAGGTACACATCCCACTGACTTGAAAATAAAATATAAATAAATGGATGAAAGCAGAGGTGGGCGTATTCTTTCATATCTAACTGATGTTTTCATGATTTTTTTTTTTTTTTTTTTTTTGGTGGTGCTGTGGGTCAAATCCAGGGCCTCATGTTTGCTGGCAAAGCATTCTATCACAGAGTTTATACACTTTTTTTGTTGAATGGTGTGCGTGTGTGTGTGCACATACCAGCTTAAACCAAACATGTATTTAAAAAAGCTGTAAAGATAGCTGTTTTAAATGCTAGTTGAATTCCATTCACTCTGCCCATCAGTTGGCCATCAGGCTCAGCATCTGCTTTGACAGTCTATACTGCAGAAGCTTTCAGAGGCCCTCTGTGGCAGGTTTCAAGGTTGTTTCCTGTTTTCTTCTGGCTTTCAGAGGCCCTTTGTAGCAGGTTCCGAGGTTGTTTCCTATTTTCTTTTTCTTCTGACGTCCATCCTCTTTGGCTTTCAGGATGGGGATTGAACATTTTAGTTAGGGTCCTCTCTTTTGCTTAGTTTGTTTAGATGTACAGATTTTAGTGGGTTTATTCTATATTGTATGTTTATATGAGTGAGTATATACCATGCATGTCTTTTTGCTTCTGGGACAACTCACTCAGGATGATCCTTTCCAGGTCTATGTAAGAAGTGGGAAATAATAAGAGCTGGAGGGGACGGGAACTCCACAAGGAGAGCAACAGAACAAGATAATTTGAACACAGGGAACTTCCCAGAGACCCATACTCCAACCAAGGACTATTCGTGGAGATGACCTGGAACCCCTGCACAGGTGTAGCCCATGGCAGTTCAGTGTCCAAGTGGGTTACATAGTAATGGGAAGAGGGACTGCCTCTGACATAATCTGATTGGCCTGCTCGTTGATCACTTCCCCCTGAGTGGGGGAGCAGCCTTATCAGGCCACAGTAGAGGACAATGCAGCCACTTTTGATGAGAACTGATAGACTAAGATCAGAAAGAAGAGGAGAACCTCCCCTATCAGTGGA